GTCTTACAGGGGGGCCCGAACAAGCCAAAACAAATGATGTGCCTCCAGTGTTTGAAAAATCTGAGCGTTCTAACCCCCATTGGGCTTCCGACAATCCAAGACGGTCCTGGAAACCCAAGTAGAGAGCCCGAAGACGGCCCGAAAACTCCCAAGATGGACACGACACAGACCAAAAGGGCTCCAAAGACAGCCCCACGAGGACTCCAAGACGGCCCACGCCGAAAACGACCCAAGAGGCTCCCAAGATGCCCCAGGAAGCCCCTGAGAGGGCCCGAAGAGGCCTCCATCCCTTCTCCCTTGAAATACCTCCTCATCGCACCCCCAGACGTCGCTAAGGCGGACTGGGCGCTTTGCCTGCGACTTCCTCACCATTTACGATCTTGAAGCATGACATCTGCAACAGCAGAAAGGATGGAGGGTTTTTTTTTCAAAATGTAACTATCGCCTCAGCGCCGCGCACACTCGCCTTGCAAAGCTGAAGAAGATGAACAGATGAAGCACACCGTGTTTTTACAATGCAGTTCTGGCATTAGCACCAGACATATTCGTGGTCAACATGTGCAACAATTTCCAGGATGGAGCACGGGTGGCTTTCAAAATGTGGCTCTCGCCTTAGCGCCACGCCATTCGCCTTGAAATTGCGCAACAACTTCAAATGTTGAGGCCGAGTCGCTCTCAAAATGATGCTCTCGCCTTGGCATCGATAACACTCGTGTTAACATACCGGGAAAGTTCGAATATGGAAGGGCGCCTCGCTTTCAAACTATAATGTTCGCCTTGGCGCCGAGCACATGCGCCTTCAAAGTTCGAAGACGTGCCAAAGATTGAGCACAAGTGGCTTTCAGAATGTGGCTTTCGGCTTAGCACCACACCTATTCGTCCTCAACATTTGAAACAGCTTCAAGGATGGAACACAGGTGGTTTTCAAAGTGTGGCCCTCGCCTAAGCGCTACGCACATTCATTCCTTAGCACCACATTGACTAGGAGGACGGCAGAGCGTTCGCTTGTCCAAAAAATGCCAGAAACTTCGCTAATGTACTAGGCCCGAGAACTCAGCACGTGTTTCACTATAATGATCCGGGGCGGCTCTTGTTCAAAATGGAACTCTCGCTTGAAAGTGCTTCCAAACCCATGACCACATATGTAAGCGTGTGGAACAGTACACAAAGTGGGGCGGTCCTTCTTCGGAAGAGGGATGTCGCTGGACGCCCCGCTGAATTGTATGGTTATGTGTCTCGCAGCCCTGACTACGCGACAGAAGGATGCAAAGCAGATTTGTTCCAAAGAGGGCCCTAGCCAAAATGGCAAGCCTGACTGTGCTGGTCATTAAAGGGGGGGCACTTCCTGTAGTGAAAAGGACAGCCTGCACGGACGCATGTGGAAGGGACTTGAGGCGGAAGGGTGAATTTCAGCTCGCCGATGCACATCAAATCTACTCTGGTCCTCTTCCTCCTGCTCCTGCCCCTGCTCCTTCTCCTCCTCCTCAATCCCTTTTCCTTCTCAACAATTCCTCCCTGTCGCATCCCGAATCGTGTCGGCAGGGCGGGCTGGGCGCTTCGCCGGGGACCCCCTCACCACGCAGGACCCTTCAGATGAGAATGTGCAAGAGGTTCACGGATGGAGGACGGGTCCTTTCCAGAATGTGGCTCTCGCCTTCGCGCCGCGCACGCTCGTCTTCAACACGCGCAGGAGTTCCACTCGTTTGCAAAGCGTGGCTCTCGCCCCAGCGCCGCGCACAATCGCCTTGACAAGTTGCACGAGCCTCACAGATGAAGGGCGGCTCCTCTTTCAAGATGGTGCGATCGCCCAAACGACGTTAGGTCGGGCATGTCCTCCTTCAGGCGGATGTTGGACGAAAAATAAAGCAGATTCAAAAACTAATCAAACATAGACGAAAAATCGTCCCAGGACCATTATGTTTGACTATTTTTGAATATTCCTCCTGTAGAGGGACAGGCCCGACTTAACCCTAACGCTGCGCACATTCGTACCAACGATGTTTGCAATGGCTTCACGGATGGAGGACGAGCCGTGTTCAAAATGTTGCTCTCGCTGCAGCGCCGCGCACACTCGCCCCAACTGCTTGCACGAGCTCAACGGGTGGAGGGGGGTAGTTCTCAAAGTGTGGCTCTCGCCTTAGCGCCGCCCTCAATCGCATTCACGAGCTACGAGAGCTTCACAAATGGAGGGCTGCTCCGTTCTCAAATTGTGGCTCTCGCCTTAGCGCCGTTCTCAGTCGCATTCACGCTCGCACACTTGCGCAGCGCACATGCGATGTAAGAGCTTACAACAGCTTCAAGGTTCACCATGGCTAACGTATGCCAGACTGTTAGGGGACAATACGTTGATTCGCAGTGTTGAAGTCCCACGAAAGGTGTTCTGGCACGACTCAAGATGGCCAAGACGCAACAGTAATCGTGATGCGTGGCGTTGAAATTCCAGGCAAGGTGTTCTGGCACCACGATGTTCAAACGTGTCTTCCAACATGGCACTGCCCACAATAGAAAAAAAACTTGCAAGCCTCCTCCTCCTCCTGTCTCTTCCTCCTCCTCCTCCTCAGCCTCCTCTTGCCCCTGAATCAAATCGCCTCAGCCACAACTGATTACGGGTACATCCGCGTCTTTGCTAGCGCGCGCCTCGCAAAGCTGGATCTCATCCTCTTCCACATAATGATTATGATGTTTTCTGCACGTTCTGGCCTTTGGGGAGGTGCACTCGGCGCCCCTGCTGGGATAGCCTCCAAAAAATCCGCCCACAAACCGCCCCTCGAGACGTCGGGAGGCCGATTTCAGCGTGGAAAGGGCCGGGGGAGGAGCGCGGAGGACGTGCAGGACGAGGACGAGGAGGATAAGGAGGGAGAGGAGGAAGAGTGAGTAGCGCCGGCTTGGCCTCCTATGATTTTCTCAAGACTTTCCTGTGACCTCCTGCCCCACTGGCCCCGTGTCCCAGCATCTGGCCGTGGGTGCCAAGCCTCCGGTGGCCACCTGAGGCTTCGCCTCGCATGGCTTCCCCGTGGCTTCCCCGGGGCTCCTCGCCGCACCGGCGGTGGCTGTCGGGGCTGGGCCCGGGACCGTGCCTCCTGTGGCTTCGCCTCCTCTGACTTCCCCGTGGCCTCCCGCTTCCCTGGCCCTGGCTGTCGGGGTCGGGTCGTGGGTGCTTGGCCTGCTCTGTCTGCCGAACGCATGAAGTCCCTCAGAAGTTCCACGAGTCAAATGTTTCAGATCCACGAGCTGTCGTCACCTGCTTCCTCACTGCGCCCTTTGAACGCCACCCATCGCTAAGACTCACGACTAAAAACAAAGCCATGGAGAGCAATACCGCAGACGCCCCGCCAAACAGTCCACTACACGACATGGCCAGAACACGCTCGACCGCGAGGGGAAGCCGCCTCCCCGCGCTTGACCATCGCAGGAGCGCTCCAGCCTCCAGTCTGCAACAGGGCTGGACCTAAACGTTGTCTTTCGTTTTGGTTTCGTCTTGTTGTTCGTTCTGTTCTGCCTGTTGTCCTGTGCCTCCCTGCCAGAACGAAAAACCAAACACAGCCGAAATCCGGCAGAACAGCGTTTGGGTCCAGACCTGGTCTGAAAGCCTGCCAGGATCTGGACGGGACGGCCCCCGCAAAGACCGGTAGAGGGGCGGGACCGGCCTGATGACGACGACGATGATGGCCTCCGCCGCCCGGGGTGGCCGCTTCGGCCGCGCTGGGAGACGGGACGCGCACGCGAGCGTTTTTTCTTTATTCGGCGTCTCGATATTGGGCGGCAAGGGGGGGGGGGAGGGGGGGTCTGGCTCCAGACCTCTGCTTAGTGCGACTGTTTGCAAGAGTGCGGCCTCTGGGGGAGAGGCTCCACCCGCTCGAAGCAGGCGCCAGAAAGCAGCCAAGATCTACTCCATAGGGGAGGGGGGGGGTCGCGCCGAACGGCAAAATAGTGAACAAAAAAACGATCGCCACGAATGGGAGAGCAGGGAAGACGAGAGTGGAGGGGAGAATGTGGGAGGGAAGGGGGAGAACAAGGGGAAGCGGGGAGGGAGAGAAGAGGGGCGAGGACTGCGTGCAGGTTGGAGCGGAGGGAGCGGGAAGGAGAAGGTTACGAGAGGAGCCAGGAAGCTCTGGGCACTGCACCACCACGTCCCGACAGCAGAAGATAAGCCCACGAAGACTGGTAGCGTCCTGGGCCGAATCGGCAAAGGGTGCCACTTGCCAACCAATGTAACTTACTGCACTGCATAGGCGACGGTAGACGGCTGGAAGTAGACGACAGTAGCGTCGCCAGACGTCCTGCACAGCCATCTTGGGGGCCCAATCCAAGGTTGACAGTGGAGAGGATAAGCACGCGATCCCGATATGGGCATGCCCGCACCCCAAATGAAGAGGCTGCAGCTGGCACGCGCACGCAAATCACGCAGCTGGTGCTCACGTGCGGCATCTGTTTATATACCATGTGTGGGAGAGGGACTGCGGGGCCGACGGCGCGTGCACCATTCATCCGTCTGTGTGCCTGCAGCTGCGTCTGCGTGTATGTGTCAACGTGTTCTCTGTGCCTGCGAATGCACGTGATGACAGAGCGCGGTGCGATTGCGTCCTCGTACTTGCGGGCATGCCCGCGGCGTTCCTTACCGCGGTGAACTCGCTGCTCAGACGGTTATTCCGCACTCCTTCGCACGTCTCGGCTAACAGCGGGCGTCTGCGTTCTTCGACGGATTTCGGCGGCTGGGAAGTGCGATTGCCCTCAACAAGCGTGCGAGCGTGTATTCGCCAGCGAGGGCGTGCGAGAGGTGGAATCAGTTTTCGTCCTGCAACCGGCTTTCCTTTCTATCTCGCAGAAGCCCTTTCCAGCTCTCCAGGGCCCTCTGGCGTGTGTGCCATGACCCCCGCCAGCCCGACCGAGACGGCACATGAGCCAATATATTCGACCCACCTCTTGCTCGACCAGGCTGTTCAACCGGACATGACAGCGGCGCATAGCCGTCGTCTTCGGACCACAAGGGCGGGAGGAGCGACCATCAGCACGGCGGTCATGATCGGCAGGATTGCTGGCACCTTCCAAGCCAAATGGTGCTGCTGTACCCCTTGCCCCTTCGTCCACCTCCTATTCCTCCTTCCTCCTCCTCCTGCTACACGCGCACATGCACCTACTCCTTATCCACCCTATCGCGTGCGCAAACGTATGCACAAGCGCTTGCTCCAGTCAACCCAGAACCAAGTGGAGGACGATCAAAAACGGGTCTTACCCGAGATGGCACAGCGACCTTACGCGATGGCTTACGCGGGCAGCCAGCGCGGCACGCCACACTGGGGCTGAGGGCGCTTACGCGCGACCTTACGCGGGCAGCTTACGCGCCAACGTCGGCGCAGACGACCCCGTTTTTGGGCGTCTCCCAAGTGACCAGAATGGCCTGAGGTTCGACTGCACCAACATGAGCGACCCACCAAACCAGAGATGGGTACAGTTCCGCCAAGCCTGCGGGCTGCCTCCTGGTGGTAATCGTCGGTGCCGTCGGCGCCCTCCTCCATCCTTTTTCCTTAGAAGTACAGACCTCGGAAGAGATTAGCGAACACGCATGCCGCATTCATCTGTCAATGCCCCCCCAATGATCAATGTTGGCAATGGTTTGGATGAACTGCACTTCAACAGCATGCTTCCCCGCGCGTGCCATCTTTGAGTTTTGGGGGGCGGGGGGGTGTCCATCAATTGTTCCCTTTTACCGTAGCTCTTCCCTGCCGCACCCCGAACGAGTCGGTACAGCGGGCCGGGCGGTTCGCCTGATATAACCTCACCACATATGACCCAGGTTATTATATATAAGTTTAGGTCATTTTAGGTTAGTATAATATATAAACATATATATATAATATTTGACCCAGGTCGATGACCCAGGTCTATATGACCCAGGGTATATATGCGAGACCCATATACTCACCTCGCAACTATCGACCAAAAAGCTTGCAACCGCTTCACCGATGGAGGGCGGATGATTTTCACAATACTGCCCTCGCCTGACAACCGCGCACATTCGTCTCAAGAGCTTGGGTCGTTTCACGGATGGACGGCGGGCCGAGTTCAAAACGTGGATCTCGCTTTAGCGTTGCGCACATTCGTCTTGTAACTTCGAAAGGGCTTCAAGGATTGAGGGTAGGTCGACTTCAAAACGCATCTCCCGCCTGAGCACCGCGAACATTCGTCGTGAAAGTTCGCGGGAATTTCACGGATGGAAGACGACGCTTTCAAAGTGCGGCCATCGCCCCTGTACCGCGCACATTCTCCTTTAGATTTCAAAGCAGTTTCAAGGATTCGTATGGTTCACGTCCCCGAAACTGTTTATTGGTGCGACGCATGACTGCCAGGGCGCAACAGTCACGTTGATTCGCGGTGGTGAAGTCCCATGAACGACGTTCTGGCACGACTCAGGATCGCCAGGACGCAACAGTAACATTGATTCGCGGCGCTGGAGTCCGAAAAGTTCTCTTTTGACATGGCTCGAGTGTTTCAGACGGTCGTCTTCCAACTGGACCGTTCCCTCCCGAAAATACATGCTTATAGGAGCGTGTGAAGAGGGACCTTGGGGGAGAGATTACTGCCCCATCGTTGATGAATCTTGGGTTTGCACTGGTCCTCCCCCTCCTCTTCCTCCTCCTCCTCCTCTCCCGCCGCCTCCTCCTCGCCTTCGCCTCGCGCCACAAGGTCTCCAAATCCTGCCAGCGCCGCGCTTCAGAATGACACATTCGGGCACAAGAAATAAATTTGCCCTGGGTACGCTGCTCGACGCAGCTGGGGCCATGCTGCGGTACGCGCTGGGTTTATATGAAAAGTGTTGTTTTCTGTCGTTCCGCTACCAAAAACAGAATGTTATGCGTTGCAACCGCAGGAAAATGGGACGCACCCAAGCCGAACTACAATTCTAGATTCATGAAAAACTGTTATTGTTGGAGAGACTGTACTATCAAATGTGCAACCGCATCCGAGTTCAGGCAATGGAAAACAACATTCATCATTACTTAGTATCACTATGGACGCGTGCGTGTGCGTGTGTCTGTCTGAAGTTGAGATCGTTTGAATCAGATTCAAGCTCTCGAAAATTAGTCAGCATCAGCCTGATCCTGCGAAAATCAGACGCAGCTGCGAAAATCATGTATCAGGCGCAGCTGCGAAAATCATGTATAGATCCACCTGACTACTTGAGCAGGTGCTTCGGCTTTCCCTGGTGCTTGTCGTCGCTCTGGCGCTTGCGTTTCTTCGAAGGCGTCGGGCCCTCAGTAGTCTCCTTGTCGGTAATTAGCTACGGGCGGCACCGAGATCGGCGCGCGCGTCAGAACGGCGTCATTGTCGGAGGCCCGGGCGGGCTCGAGGCAGTAAACCTTGAAGTCCAAGTCGAACGAGTTCGTCTTGAGGAATGATTTCCACGTGAAGGTGAATGGCACCTCCAACTGCGTGATGTTCATGGTGGGGGGCTTCTGCGGCGGCTTCTTCGGCTTCGCCTTGGCTCTGCTGTCGGCCATGGCCTTCCTTCGGCGGACTGGCCGCAGCCACTGACGCCACTTGCACCGCCCAGCCGGGCACGAAAGACTCATTCTCGACGTTGCCCAGCTGCCCAGGGTCCACGTAGAAGCGCCGGCCGAACGCAGCACGCAGGTCCACGGACTTTGCAGCCGGAATCCTGGTTACATTTTCCCACGAGGTTGAGCCTCCGATGCTTGCTGGCGCTCGTCGCCACGAGCCGACGCTTTCCCTCGCGGGAATTCCGGCTCTGGTCCACGCCCCCCAAGTGCGAGTCACTGTCAGGAATGAGATGGATATGTTTCTTGGCTCCTTTGGTCGCGAGCCCGGCAGTCGCAACGTTGACGATGAGCTTTTCGCACAGGTATCATTCCACTCGCTGAATGGAATTGAAAATGGCTGGCCCTGCGCGGCAAATCTTGTCGTTCACCCAATGTGCGTGGAGTGGCGGGATCGTTTTCAAAGCGGCCGCTGGGTCGTCGCCGCCCCAGGTCCCCGCTGCATCGCCCTCGCTGGTCTGAGCTGGAGGCACCTCAGCTTCTGCGCCATGGTCGCGGCCATGTCTCTTCAGCTTCATGGCCCTGCCCTTCGAGATTTTGTCGAGGGCCATGGGCTGCAACGCTGTCTTCATCTCGTCGCAAGACACGCGCTGAACCCTTGAAAAAAAAAAAAAACACCCCCCGTCGCCATCCGCGCGGTCGGATCCGCGCCGAGGCCCACGGCGCACGCGTCGCCTCAAGAGAACAACGCATCCGAATCGACGTTTGCAAGGGCACCCGCTGCATCCGTGAAATCGGCGACATATTGCGCGCGGCACCTCACCGCGTTGGTCGCTGTCTCGCGGCTCTCAAAGACGCCACCTGCGACCTTCTCGATCGCCGCGTCTGGTACCCGCTCATCGCCAGTAGCGCGCAGAGCAGAATGCACAACGGCGCAGAAACTCCTCCACCTCCTAGGAAAAGTCCGGTCGAAAGATGTCGCGCAAGCCTGGGGCCCAGTCACTGGCTGCAAACTCTGGTCGCCCATCGCCAATAGCGCGCTGCCAACCGAGCTCATGCCATTATGGAAGGAGGGCTGGAGATGCGGGCCGATCTTGCAGTAACAATTCGCCTTCAGAAAGCGACTCGTCACCACCGTCGTCAGCCGCGCTCTCCTCGTCGCCTGCGCCGTCGGAGCCCATGATCACGCCCTCGTCGTCCTTGTCGTCAAGGCCCATCAGGAGTTCGTGATATGACCTGGAAACCTCCCCCCCTAGAAACTTACAAACGTTTGTCCGAGAAGCTAGGGCGACTCTGCACCCGCAGACGACTGCGCTTTCAAAAAACGCGAAAAGCAAAAGGCAGCGCCAAGGTGCAGCGCCCGAATGACGCCACTCGCGTCGAAGTCAAGGTTGCCGTCTTTGGACAATCCCGAGGGGTCACTTGACGCACTGGAAAAGGTCCTCGATCCAATGCATTGACGAAGTACGTGGACCAAGGAATCCATTAGAACATCCCCCAGGAGCAACAACATCCATGGCTGCTTTCGCCCTGTAGACTTTCGAGCTCGAGACATCCCGGAGCAGCCGTTTGAGCTCACCAGCTCGGCATGCATGCTGCAGCGCATGGAACGCCAGCCCATCCTTCAAAACCACAACTATCTTCATCAAAGCGAAAGACACGGGTACAACCCATGTTTCCGAAGGGACACAGATGCACGAGATAGGCACCGATGAAGGTCGCAACCTTGTGGCAGAGTTCCACGGCGACGCGGTTCTTGACGTTTGCGAAGTCACCAGTGTTCTCCCAAACCTTCTGGGAAGCACGACTGCCCATACACCCTCAGGGAGAAGGGCGATGATACATAGGCATGTGGGCGCGCGTTCGATGAACTCCCAGACCTCCAGCACAGGCCCCAAAATGCCAATCTGCACCACGAGGTCCATGGTAGATCTGAATTTGCTATAATGCATGGCACCATTGTACTCCGTCTTGTAGCGACCATCGACAAAGTCGTCCAGAAGCTTCTCGTACCTCATCGGCCCAGTCTCAGGGCACCCTTGTACCGTTATTGATTTCTTCTTGGCGCAGGATTTCCAATCCGTTTCGACTGCGACGACGCCCTTGAACGCCTCGGGCAGCGCGCAAGCAACTCCTCCATGGAATCGGTCGTGAGTCCGCTTCACTCGCTGCATGATGCAGCGCCGAGTCTCGGGCTTCAGCAGAAGACGCCCTGCGAACCCATCGGTCTCCATCAGCTTCACGAACTTCTTGTCCTTCTGCATGGACCTCGCGAGCACGGCCGCCTCAGCCAAGGTAGCATCACCGACTAGCTCGGTCTCGGATTGGGAGTCGTTCACGCATGGCAGTGGAATTGGCTTGCCACGCATCTCGATCATGACGCCGTGCTCCAGGATCCCTTTGGCGTACTTCAGGACCTCTCTAGACCCTGGACCCTCTACCCTGGACCCTGGACACTAGACCCTGGAACCTAGCCAGAAACCCTAGATCCTGTCGCTGAACCCTAGGCCCTAGACCCTGGGCCCTCCACCCTAGACCCTGGACCCTAGCTCCTAAACCCTAGACCCTAGAATCTAGCCCATAGAAACTAGACCCTAGACCCTACAGAAGTTCGAACCCTAAACATCAAACGTACTGACTTTGAATGTTGCAGCATGCGTAAAGTATGATGTGTCATACGTAGCATATAATATGTTACATATAGACTTGTACAAATATATATATATATATATATGGTAAATACTATATCATAGAGCACGCGTGGAACGGTAGGCCCTGTTGTCGAACCCTCTGCTGGTTGGAAAAGCGGCGCTTGAAGAGGGGCCTGCCCGCAGCGTCGAACACCTTGATCGTGCGATGGGAATCCAGAATGCACCCCTCGCGAACGTGGGCCCACCGCAAGGCCCCATCGAGGCTGTCAAACACCAAGATCCCCCCCCCCCCGTCGGGCACTGCCTCCGAAACGTTGCCGCGGGCGGGGAAACTGCGGGCGGTAGCTGTCTCGACGTCAGCTCCACCAGCGACGCCCATGAGAAGAGTGCAGCGGACCTGCAGATGCACGGAGCGAAAGCCAGAGAACCGCTTAAGCCAAAAAATGCCATGGAGGAGAATGGAGGGCCGGGCAAGGGTTCTGAAGGGGCGAGCGAAGGGCCCGCGCGCGGCACTGGACCTATGAGTGCTCAAACCGACCAGGGGGATGTCTCGACCCCCCCCCCCCGACACCCCCCCCACGCCCCCTCCACCCACCCACCGCCACCACCCTAAGGCGCCTTAGGGGGGGCGGGGTGGGAGTAAGCTTTCGGAAAATCCATGAGGGCCCCCCGCCCGTTTCAAAAGACGCGGCCCCCCCCCATCCCCCTCCCGGCCCATTTAGCAGCTCGGCACGGAGGACACCTGCAACCACGGATAAACATGTCCTTTTGTTTTGTTCTGTGGACGGGCGACGTATTTCATACACGCGATGTTGATGTTCAAGGGGGCCTGACACCACAACCTCCCTCGCGCTCTGGACCCCGCCTCAAGATCGCGCGCAGGATTCTCATCGAGCGCCTCGACACCAAGAAGGGCAAGCGGTCAGGTCAGAAGCCTTGCGCCAGACGGCGCGCGAGCAGGGTGGAACAAGCTGACTGCGCCGGCGAAGGGGCCCTTCGGCACTCCATCAAAATCAGGCTCTGCAAAGCATGTCGGGCTTCGGATATCGCCCCGACCCATCTGCGTCGATTGCACCCACCGGGGACGGAAGCCAATGTGGCCAACATCAGGACAGAGAGGATACTGAGGAGACTGGACCAGAGGAGGTCAGGGCAATAGAACTTGCTTGAATTAGCCCAACCATCCGCCTCAACTGCCGAATGAAAAAATCGTTCTGGAAGACGCACAACCAACTAAAACATATGGCACCTGCAGTTTCAGCGCTGGGCGCTGAAAACCGCTCAGCTGATATCACCGAAAACATTCTTGTAGCAGGGAAGCGCGACACCTCATCCCTCGCGCGTCTCAGCACGGAGCGCTGCGCCATCATTAGACGCGGCCCCTCAGGGGAACGATGGGCACGAAGGGTCCGAGTCGGAGCATCGAGGGCATTGAGTGATCGGAGCGCCTCTCTGCATCGCCTCTTGCACGAAGGTAGCCTGGATCGGCCTCTAGGCACGAAATCCCAGCGGCGCGGCACCGGCAGGGGGAAAGGTCGCCGTGGGCACGGCCTCGGAACGCGCGATAGTCTCGCCCGTCAGCTCGGCGCCCACGTCGAGCTCGACGGCGGCGGCGGCGAGGCAAACGACGGCGCGGACGGAGCCGAGCCAACCTTCGCCAACTGGGCCTCGCCACGGCGGCCCCCGAAGGGCCTAGCCGCCGTCGGCGGCCCCGTCGCCGCCCTCGCCTCGGCCGCCGCCGCCCTCGCCCGAATGCCCCCCGCCGCCGCGGCGGGCGCGCCCCGTCTCCTCGTGCCACAACCTCATCTGCTTGTGGCGCTGCGCCTCGTCGCGCTGCAACCCTGAGACGAAGCCGCCGAACTCGGGGGGCAGAGCGCGGCCACCCTCGCCGAGCGGGGCCGCGAAGATCCCCTCGAGGTTGTCGAAGTCGGGGGTCTTCGGGCAGCGGCGGGCGGCCGTCTCGATCTCGAACAACCATCGGCTCAAATACTCGACGCCAGCGACGTTGGCGGCCTCGAGCAGGTCGCAGGAGCCGAACTGGGCGAGGCCCTCCGAGAGGCGGCGGTGGAAGCGGCAGACCCCGCCGTGCATGTTCACCCCCGGCTTGGTGCGCCAGTCGAGGTAGTGGCTGACGCAGTCGTGGCTCAAGGCCATCAGGGCGCGCTGCAGCTCTGGCGCCGCGGCCTTACCCTGGCAAAGGCCAGCCTGGCCGCGAACCCTTCTTCGAGCGCCCCGGCGATCTCCTGGAAGGACATGTGGGAGAGGCCACCGATCATCTCGTCGCCCAGGAGACGTAGGTCGCGCCCAGGGCCGACGTCCTTCGGGCGCATCCACTCCCCGAGATCGGTGTCCTCCACCAGCTCGGCCGAGACCCACACTTCGTCAATGCACACCAGGGCCACTCACTCCTCGATGATCATGTTGTCGCGATCGCCGACAACGCCCTCGGGCAGCTCGTCGGAGAAGGCAGCGTGGGCCGGGTCGGAGACGCGGCAGCGGCCCCCCACATGGGCGGCGCCCGCCGAGCCCACGAGCCCGAAGACCTCCAGGAGGTCGCGACCCGCGCGGCGCATGTGCACGAGGGTGTCGGGCTCGATCGGCACATCGAACGCGCAGGTCTGGGCCCGGTACCGCCGTGGGATGGGCTCGTCGCGACCGAGGGGGATGACCCTGTGTTCCGACAGGTAGGCGTACTGCACATCGAACTCGGGGGTGCCAACGATCCATTTTCCTGGGGATGGGGTGGCGAACAAATGGACACGGTGATGATACACGAAGCTGTTGGGATTGTCCCAGAAACTGATCAGAACCTGCCGCTCAGGGATGTCCAGCATTCTGGCCTCTGCCATTGGCTCTCAGGACGGACGGGGTACTCACTCGGGGCTCGGACTCTTGGTCGGTCATGTCGGCGAGGGCACGGTGGGCGTCGGGTTGTACGAGCAGTCCGCGGACGGTGCGCCTCGAGACTGACAGGCAGCACGAGACGATGACGGTCGGCCGCGAGCCGACCAAGCAACCGAGAATGAAAAGCACGAGCAGCCAGAACCGCGAGCCTTCTGACGAGCAAAGGGAATTCGAGCGGAGCTCTGCCCTCGAAATCGAGCACACCTGGCACACGTCCTGGATGACCTCAGGGGACCTCGCGAACACCGACTCCAAGACACACTCACTCTCACGGGCGTCCAGCGCGCAGACACACGGCGGGCACTCGCCAGGAGCTCTGACGAGGGCGACAGCCTGGAGACCTGAGGCAATCAGGTAGTACGCTACGAGCAGGAACCCTGGGTCCATCCAGACCCTTTGAACCGCTAAACGGCAAAGGCAATATAAATTGCATTGCGAGCGGTGTGCTACACTGCGAAAGGCCAGGCCAGGTCTGAGACAAATCATATAAATATACACATATACATATATGTATATCTATATATACATATATATATGTGTGTGTGCAAATGTAAATGTATATATGAATACAATGCTGGTTTAAAGAAAAACAGACAAACAAACATGGCAAGAACCTACATACCCTATGCATGTCAGGCCTCGGAAGTTCATAAGATCTGACATTATGACATGCAAAAATGCATGCCATCGGAATTCCGATGACGCAACTCGACAATGCTCGAGTCTGCAGAGTTCCATACGACTTGAACTTCAAATTGGGAAACCCTGCGGAAACAAATAATTGAAAACAAGCAATTTCAAATTGAACGCTGGCTCTTGAAAACGAGCAATTGGTAGGATTTCTGCTCTTGACCAATCACAAAGCACTTGTGGAGGGAAGGCGTGTTCGGCACCCCCTGGGCTGGACAAAAAAGGCAGGTCCTCAAAACGGCGGGCCCTCATCTGAGGATCCCTGCATGTTGTCAGACGAACTCTGCTCCAAAAAGCCTTTGGGAGTCTGGGGGATCAGCGGCAGCGGGAAGAGGAGCGGAAGGCAGGCCGAGCGAGGCAGCGGGCCCCGTCCACTCACACCCTCCCCAGCACATGAGAAAGAGCAATACCGGGCGCACAAACGCATCTCGTCGTCATCCTCCTCCTCCTCCTCCTCCTCCTCCTCCTCAGCAGCCATACCAGAGCCGTGCCTAGAGTCTAGGCTCTCGTCTAGGCCCTAAAAGGCACCTCGTTTGCAGATCACGTGCACGCGCGTATGTGCAACACACGCCAGAGCCGCCGGTCTGGCCGAGCACGCCAGTGCCAATCTGACACAAGAGTACAGGAGGAGAAGGAGGAGGAGGATGAGGAGGAGGGTGACGACGAGGGCGAGGAGAAATATGTACAACACCAATTCAAACAGTACCTCAACGATGTATATTTCCATGCTTGGCGATTCAACGTGCTCTGTTCGAGTGCTCTCTGGGAGGCCTCTTCCAAGCCGAGGGCCACCCCGTGCACACAGATTGCAATTGTCAGGGCATACGCACCCCAGAGGCGGAGTCCTGAAGGGCCCCCCCCCCCGTCTGCGCACCCCGTGCTTGCCCCCAGGTCAGACGGATCGGGGGGAGAGGCATGTCCCCCTACAGGCGGATTTGGGACGGAAAAAAGAGCACCAACAACAAAAAATGCTTAAACATAATCAAGATATGGTCGAAAGATATTCCCTTGACTACTCGTTCTGCTATGTTTCAATATTGCTCATGTAAAGGGACACGCCCGACTTAACCTTGCATTCGGGATGGCAGATCGCCTGCATGCATTCGCAGGGCTTTGCGTACCGTTCATGTCGAAGTCTCCCTGCAAGACACGGCAACGCGCTGGCACGCTATGCGAACGAACCGTACAGCAGCAGAACGTCTGCGTGTATGAACAGGCGTTGGGCGCAGTTCAGACAGGTACTCGATGCCCCTGTTGCGGCACCGTTCTCACTGGGAGTGAGCAGTACTTTCGGATCGGCTCGGCAAGGAGCGATGCCGCAGTACGTCGTCGGCAGAAGTGCGCCTTTCGGCAAAAACCACCGAGGCAAAAAGATGACCAGCGCTGCAGCGGGAACTCCGCGCCCAGACCTCCGACGTCGCGATTTTGTTCACAACGTCGGCCCCCAGAGGCCTGGACCTCTTCCCCGGGACCGGTTACTCATCCTGAATCATATTCTGACGGTCCCGAGGCCCGGTAAGGGCCCCCGAAGGCCGAAAGTAACGAAAAACCTCCCGTCGTCGCTTCACGACGCGAGGAGGTCTGGGTTCTCCAAGGACCAGCGCGGCAGCACGCCCGCCGCGCAGCGGCAGAGGAGGGCGGGGCTGGCCGCTGCCGGCCCGCTGCCCGGGGGCGGCGGCGGCACCGGGATCTGCATGCCCAGCTGGGCGAAGAAGAGCGTGATGAAAAAGTCCCTGGGGGGCCGCGGCGGCAGGGTCGGGGGACGGCGGCGGCAGCACCACCCCGTTAGCGCAGCTCATGGGTGACGAACGACCAAAATGCGGCCTGCCTCGCCCTTGCGCGGATGGCCTCAATGGCATAGGACCTGGCGGCAAGCCTCCCGGCGGGAGGTGGAGGAGGAGAGGTGGAAGAGGAGAACAAGGAGGGATGGAGGGAGGGAGGAGGAGGAAGGGAGGGCGACGATGAGGATGAGGAGGAGGAGGAGAAGGACCTGCTTCTGTTCCTCCTCCTCATCCTCCTCCTCCTCCTCCTCATCATCATCATCATCATCACCACCATCATCATCACCACCACCACCACCATCATCATCATCGTCATCATCAGCAGCAGCAACCGAAGCAGCAACAGCAGCAGCAGCAACAGCATCATCATCATCATCATCATCATCATCATCATCATCATCATCATCATCATCATCATCATCATCATAATCGTCATCTTCATCATCATCATCAGCAGCATCAGCATCATCATCATGATCATCATCATCATCATCATCATCATCATCATCATCATTACCATCATTACCATCATTATCATCATCATCATCATCAGCAGCAGCATCATCATCAGCAGCAGCATCATCAGCAGCAGCATCATCATCATCATCATCGTCATCATCAGCATCAGCATCATCAGCATCATCATCATCAGCAGCATCATCATCATTATCATCATCATCATCATCATCATCATCATCATCATCAGCAGCAGCAGCAGCAGCAGCATCATCCTCTTCCTCCTCCTCCTCCTCCCCCTCCTCCTCCTCCTCCTCCTCCTCCTTCCTGTCCTCCTCCTCCTCCTCCTCCTCCTCCTCCTCCTCATCCTCCTCCTCGCACCCCCTCCTTCCCCCTGCTGCCCTCTCGGCCTCGCCTTGCCAGGGTATGTTCCCGGGGTCCCTCCGAGTTCTCCCGTGGGAGTCTCCAACAAACTACCTACCAAAACACCCCAACACAACCAGAAGACCCAAATTTCGGGTCGGGAGGGGTACGGGCTCCGCATGTGTTTTCTATGCTCCCCGTCGCCCCCCCCCCCCACTGCGAGTGGAAGGAAAATCGGGGCCTTCGGGGTGGGTTGGGGTGGTTTGGCGGGTGGCAACCAGTACCCTTCGAGGGTGCCAGGCCCCCGAGTTCTGAGCTCTGGGCGCTCACAGACGCTTTGGTCGGCTGCGAGCCTGGGGGAACTGAGAAGCCCAGACCCCCTCGGGTCACGAAAAAAACATGACTGGAGGTGTGTCCTTGCTTTCGGCATCTGGGGGTACTTACCGGGCCTCGAGACCGTCAAAAAATGACGCAAGATGAAAACCGGTCCCAGGGAAGGGGTCGAGACCTCTTGGGGTCGATGTATGAAAAAACATTATGCTAACGGAGCTCCCCACATAAGGATGTTGAGGGCTTCGTGGGGTCAATGAGGCACAATAATAGCAATATGATTGGAAGGGCCATCGCAAAGGTACGTGCGAAAGAGACGGCAGACGAAGGCAAGGAGGGGGAGCAGCAGGGAGGAAGACGACGGCTGTTCAGGAAGCACGTTCGTCCCTGGAGTGGGAGGGGCACGAAAACTCAAGAATAACACGGTTTGCGAATACCCTCCTCGCTCAGGCGAGGCGTCCCTGGAGGAGTGCGAGGGTCACGAAACCTGATAAATAACATGGTTTGCGGATGCCCTCCTCGCTCAGGCGGAGCATCCCTAGAAGAGTGGGAGGGGCACGAAACCTAATAAATAACACAGTTTGTGAATACCCTCCTCGCTCAGGCGGGGCCTCCCTGGAGGAGCGGGAGGGCCACGAAACCTGATACATAACATGGTTTGCGAATACCCTCCGCACTCAGGCATGGCCTCCCTGGAGGAGTGGGAATGGGAGTGGCCTCTCTGGCGCTGCCTCCCTGGAGTGGTAGGTATGTTATGGTAGCTTTGGTATGGAAGGTGTGGTATGGCATGGTAGGTATGGTATGGTATAAGATGCTGCGGTATGGTATGGTATGGCATGGTATGGTATGGTATGGTATGGTATGGTAAAGTAAAGTATGGTATGGTTTGGTATGGTATGGTATGGCATGGCATGGCATGGTATGGTATGGTATGGTATGGTATGGTCGGGTAGGGTAGGGTATGGTATGGTAGGTATGTTATAATAGGGCATCCTATGGTAAGTATGGTACGGTATGGTAGGGTTTGTATGGTAGGTATGGTGGGTCTGGTATGGTCGGTGTGGTATGGTAGGTGTAGTATGGTAGGTATGGTATTGGTATGATATGGCATGGTAGGTATGGTATGAGATGGTAGGTATGGTAGAGGAGGAGGAGGAGGGAGATCAGGAGATCAGGAGCCTGAGGGTGCCGTCTGACTGGCAAACAGCGCCTCGAAGGATCTCAGATGAGGTCGATGGCCAGGCCGAACGACACGACACGACGGCCGAATGACTCGGAGGGCGCGGCAGTACAGGATGCAAGGGCCTTGGACGCCCATTTCGAAGCTTCTCAAGCGAGGGGCGGCCAACGAAAGTGGCGAAGGACGGGCCGAAGGGGCGAGGATGCAAGGATATCCTTGGGAAAGTTGCCCATCCTTACTATGCAGGTTGACTGCACCGTCTGACTCGGCGGCGAGCCCGGGGGGGAAGTGAGAAGGGCCAGGCCTCGGAAGTTCCCCAGGGCTGAGAATTCTTTTAGGCCTTCCCCGAAGACATGGAAAGCTTCTCAGAATGCGCGGTGGTTTCTGAGAAGTCCCGCCGCCTTCAAAGAAGGCCTTCTCCTTCTCACTTCTCCCCCTCGCCCGCCGCCGATTAACCGATTCCTATCCCCACGGGCGTGGCTTGGGTCCCACTGGCCGATTTTCCTCCCCAAATGGGGATACGGGCTCTTCCCTTCGAGTTTCGAGGGGCACATCTCCAACTGGGGTGGTGGGATGGTTGGGATCGGGATGGGGATGGCGATGGGGATGGGGATGGGGATAGGGATCGTTTCAACGATACGTAGTGAGGAGAGGCTCGGAGTTTCGAGGACCTCCAGGCAGTCTGAGTTCTGACTTCCCGTTGTGAGCTGTATTTCCTTCGTCCTCACTGGTGCCACGAGGCGCCGGTGTGCTTCCACGGTTGATTCACCTGGGGAGGAGGAAGACGCTCCCCTGCCGGACGGGGGCGCAACGGAGAAAGGGGCGTCCAGAAGTTTTCCTGTCACACCACACCCTGCACTGTGGAATGAAGAGGCCCCCCCCCCCCGAGAGAGAGAGAGAGAGAGAGAAGGATCTTCCAGGAAGAAGGGGCGGAGGTGGATCCAGGAGAGGGAAGGAGGTCCCAAAGGAGAGGCCCTGCGTCAAGGGATCATCAGAAGGAGCCAACGAGAGAATCCAGAGCGAGTCCAGACGGGGACGGCCCCCATGAAGAAAAACTTCAGCGGGAGCGACGAGTAGGCCCCCTGAGGCAACTGCGGGGCACAAGACAAGACCGAACTGAGCCGGGAAGATCGGCAGCACGGCGGGAAGGCCTGATGAACTTGATCTTGCCATTGAACTCCGCGCTGTAGGGGAACGTCGCCTGGAGGGCAAGGTCCCGGCTTTGGGGGACGACAACTGACCTCGCCGCCAGCTCTGGCCTGGCCAATCCTGATCCCTGACCTCCGTGTCGTCGGACGCGCTCACGCCGTGTGACCCAGAGAAGTCGCAGGGAAGCGCAAAGACTCGCGCGACGCGGGCCGGTCGGGCCGGCTACATGCTCACGCGGCCACCGGCTCCGAGCTCCGAAGCCTCCAACGGGGCCTCGGCGGCCTGTCCGGCGAGGCAGCAGGGAGCCGCACTGGGGTGCCTAAGAGAGTGGAAGAGAAAACGACGTCTACGCTCGGAGACCCGCGCGGATCTCTTGGATCGGCGCTGGACCCCCTGGCGGCGCCTCCCGCCCCTGACGCGTCCCGCGCGCCGGGGAGGGGGTCCGGCGCCGAGCCAAGAGATCCGCGCGGACCTCGGAAGTCGACCCGTATCATAAGGACGCGGGACAAGGGCGCAAGGCCCTCGGACGCCCGCTTCGAAGCTTCTCGGGCGGGGCGCGGCCAACGCAAGGGGTCCAGGATGGGCCGAGGAGGCAAGGATGCGAGGGGTACCATTGGGAAGGTGGCCCAACCTTCCTATGCGGGCTGACGAAGTGCCGAGGTGCCTTCTTCCATCGATCGATCCATGGATTTGGCGCGCGGTCGCCAAATCCATGGATCGGGGGAGGTGCCCTCCCCAGAATGCGGCCGGTGCCGCCCCTTCGGCGGCGGCAACCCGCGATCTCGCATGGAGACGGGACCCATCGCTAAACCACGCCCCCCCCCCGGATCCATGCCTGCGATCGCCTGGATCGAGGCGGGCAGCTGACGTGCCCTGGCGGCTGGGGGCGGGGCTGCGGTCGGAGGCCGCCCCGCGGGCCAGAGCTGTGTTTCTCACGCGGCGGGCGCCGCCGCTCGCGGCCTCGCCATGGGCGGCCAACTTTAGGTCGGGCCTGCCCTCC